AAATAGAAGCTCTTTGTGAGAATGTGTTTGAGAAGAACAAAAACGTTCTGCAGGAGCAAAACAGGGTGGCCATGCGTTCAACAGGTGTTTATAAATAGGATCACGCAGGAACCCTCAGGACCAATTGCCTTCTAACACCTAATTCCTCCCTCTCTCACGCTGTGGGGCTTCCTGATGGAAATGCAGTGAGCAAACGTGATCAACAGTCATTCAGCCAGAGATTTGTTGTCATCTTCTTCAATTCCTTACCGCTGTTAGGCTACACTGTTACCAAATCTTACATTCTCAATCCCGTTTGTATCTTCGCTAGTTTTGATTCCTTCCTCAGGGTACTGCCTGCTTCCTGCTTCAATTTCTGGCTCCTTCCTTTTTTTCTTTCTCTACCTTCCCCTTTCTCCAATCCTTCTCCCCAAAACTCTGACAAAGTGAAATACAGGTTTCTTCCTCTCCTCAAATTATTTTCTCTCCCTATCTTATCAGGTTTTTCTCCTCCTGGCACAGATCCAGTTTTTGTTTGCTGTGCTCCTTGTAACTGTTTTATTTTCTTACTGACACCCACAGTCTGTATTGGCATCTGTGTCATGCCTGCCCTTGTCTTTTACTTTCCCCCTTACCTCGCACTCTCCACTGACACTTTCACTGAACAACTTACTCCGTAGAATGCATCTTAATATGCTTAGTCTTTTCCATCTTTGGGGAGGAGAAAAAAAAGAAAAAGCTCTTGACCTGCTAGGCAGTCTTCCTCCTTTTACCTCTAAGCTCACTCTAGTCTTGTTATGCTGTTATTTTTCAACCTCTTGAATCCAGTTTTTGTTTATTGCTGCTCTCCACAAAGTCTCTAATGACCTTCTTTTGAAGAAAGCTCAAAACCAGGACTTCATCCTCATTACTGACTCACTGTTTACTTAAATGTCTCTGCTGATCTGTACGTAGCTCTTCCATTTTATAGTTCGCTTGTAAATTCTTTAGGATAGGGCACTCTTTTTTTTTTTTTTCTGTGTTTGTACATTATTCAGCTCATTTAGTGGGTTGTTTTGAGTAGGACTGTGAACTACCATGAAAGTACAAATAACTAATATGTTTTTGATCAAAGGTTCCTTTCCCCCCACCCTCTCCCTAGGTATTTGACCAGATCAAATTATGTAGGTTATCAGTGGGATTGATAATAAGTAGCATTTTAAAATGGCACAGCTAGTTGTCCGCAAACGTTATCTCACAAATTTGCATTGCGCTACAAATTTAGACCAGAATTTTGCTAATCTTTCTCATGTGAACTGACTTACTTAAGTCAGTGGACTACTAATATTTGCCACACAGTAAGGATTTGGCTCATAATCTTGGGGAAAGCATTTGCATGCACACAGGGAATATTGTCTAGTGTTTTTTTTAAAGGCTTCCTCCTCATTCCATTCCTCCTAATGAGGTTTTTTTAACTTTAAAGTGGGAAGAACAAGGTAAGCATGATCTGACCCAGATGTGATGCCTAAGGAAGTTGTCTATGAAGCTCTCTAATTCAAATGGCGAGAGGAGAAAATTATCTCTGTATGGGAGTTATTATTTGACTTCACAAAAATAAGTCCACTTGGCTCCTAGAAAAAATGAAAACACTCTTTAACTGTTTAAATAACACCTAACAAATAAGGGAAGGAGGCACAAAGTGATAAACCATAGAAATTGTAAACTTTCAACTGATTGAGGACAAATAAGGGGCAGTGATTGCTGTGCTTATGTGGAAAGGCAGGAACGTTCTCTCAGGCACTGTAGAAATTGTGGACACCCTGGTCTCAGAAATTTAGAGGTATTTACAAAGAAAATGATTTGCAGTGTCTTTTCACAGACTGTCAGTGTGGCTTTTTTGAGATTTTACACATCATTCACATAATTTGTTACCTATTTATTTCAATAATAAATTTTCTATATAATTCTTTTTCTTGGAAAGGAGAGAACACGTTCATTTTCGGTATGTTTGTAGATATAAATTATTCCTTTGCATTTTTACTCAAGTGTGTTGCTTGATTTTTGGGATCAAATGCCCTGCAAGGTGACATTTCTTCCAGTTTCAGCAGTCATCATAGCGATGGGAGGAAGCTGCTCAGTGTTACCTCCACGGAGGAATCCACACTCTCTAATGCTGTGTATCAAACTTAGGTGCCTGACTGAGAAACTTAAGCATCCAGTGTACAAAATGGAGAAAGAGAGGTTTCTGATTCAGATGCTCTTAATTGCTCTCCAAAAGCTACACTGAGTATATAGGGAGCTTAGGTTCCTAACAGAAGCATCTAGGTTGTTTTTCTAAGACCAGACAGTTTGACTATCTCCTGCACAGACGCTGAAGGGAAGTGCCTTCTTGACCCAGATTGGTCTAACCGTGGCATTAAATAGTTGAGTGTAAACTTGCTGTTTGTTGTACTCTTTGGCACTGACTCCAGTGGAGTTGGGATTTCATGTGCAGCGTGTATTGCTCACAGACTCTTTTGTCTTTGGAAGAACAAGTCCAAGATAATAAAATAATGTGGCAGGGAAGGGCAAAATAAACCAGTTCCATCACATAGATTAGGGTCATTTTATACAAAATAAATATCAGTATTTGCAAGGCCTCCTTCCTCATTTCAATCAAATCTAGGTATATTTTCTCATTCATTATATTTACAGGTTCTCAGTTACTTTCTGAACTGTAGCTAGTATTGTCATCAAGTATTTATGCTGTACTTGCTTCCAATAAACAGGTAGAAAATTCAGAATAATAGAATTCACTGTTGTCACGCAAAGCTGCTGGCAGGACTGGATCCTGGTTTTGGGATGCCACCTTGTACCTAAGGCTTCAGCTATGTACCAGGCCATGCATATCCATAGGGGAAAACATTGCTGATCGTGAGGCAGCAGGTCCTGGTTTGTTTGGTGTTGCTGCTGGCATGCTTACCCTCTAAACTGAGAAAGGGAATTGGTTTTGTGCACAGCCTTGAAAAGTTGATGGTACCAGTGTGTAAGCAGACAGGATATCCTGAAGTTGAAAGGATTTGGTACATGAACAAGCATGGGCAAAGGCAGCAAATGACTGAAGAGGGTAGGGCAGGCACTGGAGAGCTGCCGGTACCACCACAATATTGACTGATGCTCTCAATGCAGAAATAACACTTCTAGTATTGTCACCTACAAAATCTGCATATAGATAAAATGTGTTCTATACAGGTGCAAGTATTGAATAACTTCTCTTACTTTCCACCTTCTCAAATGTGAAGACTTTATAATATTTACTTGTCAGGTTGAAGATGGTTCTGTTTTAGTTTGCTTCATCAATGAGAAAGGGAGAAAGGGAAGAAGGTCATTCCATTGCTATTCTTCTTTCTCTCCCAACCTTACTTTATCCTGAAATTCGATGTTTATCCCTGGGCAGGTTTTTACACAGTTCTCTACTTTTTCCAAAGTCACATGCCCATTTTATAGTAATGGCAGGGTACTTGAATTTACCTTTAAGAACCATACGTCCTAGCTTCATTAAAAAGAAACAAAACCAAAACCAAAAAAACTGCGAGATTCATGCTGTAGTAATGCTGTCAACTGAATTGTATTTTTTGTGTTCAATTCCAGGGCCTCAACCACAGGACCATCCTTCTGTCCTCTAAATTGGTTTTGTGATTGCATACTCCCTTTTCATGCTGTAGTGGTGGCTTTGGTACACAGCCATTTCTTTCCTATTCAAATTTCTAAACTTCAGTGGTGCTTATACCTTTTCAGAATACATGCCTCCTGCAGCAAACAGTTCATGGTTTCATGAACAGATACTGAAAGTTTAAGGAAACTGCTTGTCTGTTCAGTTGAAAGAATTTTGCTGTAATGTAAGCCATTAAACACTCAAACTAAAGAACAAGCTTTATTTCATAATCCAAGTGAGTAATTTTCCTTTTCTACTTGTTTTCCTATTTCTGAGTGTACAGATTTCAGCATTGCTTTTTCAAGGTGATGGGATAATGCAGTGAATGAAAGTAGCAGGTCTAAGAAAACCTCATGACCTGCAAACATTCCCTTTGTCCAGCCTTCCTTTCCTGTACAGGGAAGCCACAGAGATTGTTTTCTGGCCCTCATTTTTTTCATACTTTGTAATTTGTCTTTTATCTACAAAATGGGCAAAAAATAAAAGATAAATAACAATTATTTTATCATACTTCTGCTGAATGGTTGCCTTGCCTCTAATGATTCCGTTTCATAGGCAGGTATTTGGCTACTTCAGTAATATTTATACAGGCTGACATTGAACGACTGTTGCTTTTGCTGCATATGACAGTATCGACTAGCACAAAATTGTGGTCGCACGTTAGTGTGCAGTATGCGTCAATGCAAACCCATTTAAGCAGCTTCAAGTTTTTTCTCCCACATCCCCTCCCTTAATTTTTTCATTGCCCATCTTACCAGCAGAAGAGCTAAAATAATTACCTGCAGTCTCATTTTTCACTTTACTACATGCAGATCTTGTGCGGTTGGGCAGCGAGCGGCTGACTGGGAGGGGCCTGCTCTGATGCAGCACAGGCATATGACAGCAGTAGCAGCAACAGCAATCAGAGCCCTTCTCCAGGCGGGTTTTGCTGCAGTACGCTGATTGCCACTTTACAGCATCCAGCAAGATCCCCAGCAGCAGGCACTTGGAGGAGACTCTGCGTGGGCACTTGTTTAAGGAGTACCTGACTAAACAATTGGGTTATTCTTTAACTGTGGGAGAAGTGCCTGTATTCCCTTCACGCAAGCTCCCTACTGGCTTTCTGCATTCATATTTATTGGAGCCGTTTTCCCCTCCGTCTTTCTCCCGTTACTTCTTTTTCTTTCTTTTTTTTTCTTTTTTTTTTCCGATCGTTATTCACCCCCCCTCCCCAAATCTGTGCTGCATCACTAGCTCTCATTATGCTGTGCTCAGTAGCCCAGTGTGTTCTCCGCCTCTGCTAGGCAGTGGCAGCATGGATGGTGCTCTTGTGACGACCTCTGCTGATGCTATCAGTCCACTGCGGATAGGCATGCTGAGTAATCCTGCTGTAAATGGGCGAGGACACGGACACACGAAAAATTAACCACAGCTTTCTTCGAGACCACAACTATGTGACTGAAGGTAACAGAAATACTGTCATTATTCTCTTCTTGTATTGCATATTCTATGCCAGGAATGCACTGTCATTTTGGAGATATAGGCTGTTCCTTTTTTTCTTGTCTTTTTTTTTTTTTTTTTTAAACAGGGAGACTTTCAAGGCATTTTTCTGTGTGATGTAGCAACAGAATCTGTTTGAATTTGCTAAATCCCGAAGGCATTCTGTCATGCTACGGCAGTATATGAAACTATATGAGCTAAAGAAGGTCTTGCATTGTGCTGAGTTTGTGCTAGTGAGGTGTGCAGCACCTGGCATTGAATGCACAGTAGCTGCAATGTGGAAGATTGGAAGCAGTTGATTACTTAAAAGAAGGTGAAAGATTTGAGAGCACTAAAGTAAGAGAAATAATCTGTAAAGTTAACTGTTTGCTGGTGTAATAAAGGTTATGCATCTCATTTTGGTAATTGTAGCCTGAGCATCACAGACATTGCCGAGTTGATTGTTCCTTAGAGAACCGTATACATTTAGAAGGGATATGTAAGCATAATCTTTTGAAATACTGCTGCCTTCTTTCCATCTTCTGTGTTATGTGCAAGGTACATGAGAAAAGAAAAGGTACCTTCATTGTAAATCATTCAGTGGCTGGTAGCTTATTACATAGAAAGGAATTTTCCTGCAGGTGACATACATTAAATGCTGAGAGAATTTATCTTGAGACCAGTGAAATGGTTGGGTCAGGTACTGATCCATATTTCCTTGCCAGAAAGTTGGTTTAAGAGCAGGCCATTTTAAGATTGATTGACTGAACAGGAGAAATGTATTTGTAGGTGCTTGACTTTGCAAATATATTTGTGTGTGCAGAGTTTTAACAGCACTTTCCAGCAGCAGAAACAGTACTTCAGTGTAGGCTTATATAATATGAACATACTTAACAGCAGGGTCAACCAATACTACTTGAGACTCAGTCTCCAGATTCTGTCGTCATTTGATCAATGCTCAGTCACTTAATACTCCCATGCTGCATCCTGAAATGTGATCAGCTGATGCTCTCTTGATAATTGATGATTTGCATTTTTTTTAGAATGTAGAAAACAGCAGGATGATTTTGCCATACTGGGAACACAAAGTAGATTTTTCAGAAGAAAAATTAAAAAAGCTGTGTATTGTAAATGTTACCACTGGCTGGTGTAATCGTTTGCTAATCTTGCCTCTAGGACATTCTTTGCATTCTGGTTCGTGTTTTGGTGCATTTTTTAATTTGTTTTGAATTTTTGGTTACTGCTTTTTGTCTGAATGATGAGTTATGTTTTGAGATGTAGTCATCTGTAATAACATTTGAAGAAACTTTGTCTTAAATTTATAAATTTATGCCTTAGATTCTGCAAAATGCACAGTATAATTACTGCAGTGTACTTGCTACATGTTGAGATTCAGATGTATATTTAATGGGCATGTGCAGCTATGTTAAAATTTGGACTTTCGAGTCTTGTCAGTTTTGTAATCTGAGGAAAATAATCCCTTATGGATTTTGCAAATCAATATTCTCCTCTTTTGTATGTTATGGGTGTTTTAAAAATTAGATGGAGGTTTTTAGTATTTTTGCGGACACTGCTGATGCAAGTTTTAGATTTTCTCACATTTCATCTTCACTTGATACTTTGATCAGAAGGACTGGATGTTCTTCCACGATTGCACATGGACTGACTTGTCTGAAGTGGGTCAAAATATACCTTGAATATCAATGTCAGCCTGTATTATATTTTCCCTGTGATCAGAAGTCATCATGAAATATGTTGGCATCTGATTTTGAGGTGGATGAAGTATGGGAAACCTTCAGTAGCAAAGTGTTAGTTCTTCAGCTCTGACTGTGTAAAGTTTCTTGGGAATGCTCAGTTGGTCAGCTGTAATAAAATTCTTCACATCTGTTATACCTGACATTGCCACACCTTTTGAAGGATCATGAAAATCATGAGGGAATGGATTTATCTGTGAAATTTTTCCAGGGATACCTTCAGCTCAAAGAAGCCCATCACAAATTTTAATTTCTCATTGATATACTTTGTTTAAAATGCTTAATGAATACGTAAGCTAAACTGGTGCTTAAAATGTGCTTTGTTTGTTTTGTTTTGTTCGGTGTTTTTTTTTTTTTTTTTAATTTTATGTAGAGATTTGGCTCCATGAAACAACCTTTAGCACTTCTCATCTGTAAAGGCCTGAAGTCCTTTCACAGTCCTTGCATTTGATCCTATGATATGTTAGTGCTGCGTGTATGATGGTAACATACATATAGAAACGCAGTTGCAGGCAGTAGTGCATTGCTTTGTTATATTGGAAAATAATTTTATTGGGGCTGAACCCAAGTCTTTCTTTTGGCATCTTTGGCTTTTGTAATCCACTATTTAAAACAAAGACAGACTTTATATTGTATCCAGCGTATTAGAGAAGTTCCTGATTCGTTGTTGTCTGTGAATAACTACAATTTCCTCTTCTGTTTTCAGAGTTTTGAAATCTTGATAAGGGGTGTCCTCTGTCCTTGCTGCTCCATGCAGCAGACTAAATTCATTTACAAAAGGAGGTATTTCTGACCTTTATATATACCTTCTTCCTCTCTATTCCCTGAGGAAAGTAAAGCCAACAATAATCAAGATGTTGGGTTAACTATAGTATTGCTTTAGTTCTCTTCCTCTTTTACTTCTCCAGTGATTTAAAAAAAAAAATAATGGGGTGACACATGAATTCACAGGGTATAGGAAAACTGTGAGCCAAATCTGATTTGCTCTGCTCTTGCTAGAGGACCTAGCGTGTTCCTAACGAAACTGCTTACTTGAGCAAAGTTGGATTTAATCTCTTTGATAGGTCATTATTTTGTAACATTGGGGTTATCTGTATCACCTTGATGGAAAACTGAATTGGTTTTTAAATCTCAAAAATTACTTGATTTGATGGTTGATGTTTTACTGTTGATGTTACACTGTTTCTGGTAATAGGCATTATAGACACACATATGACAACAGTGACTACCTGGACTTGTTTCTCCTGTTACATATGCATATCTGTAATAAAACCAATGGAGTTAAAACAAGCAGGACTTGAATGATTTTGTCATTGTAAGTCTTAAAAGTATGTTACAGGCAATTTAATTCCAGCAGCAATATTCAGTAAGTTTTTTCAATGATCACTTTCAAAAGTGGTTTTTGAAGGAAACTGTTGTAATTGGAGTTGTTTGTGTAGGGAAAACAGAAAAGATCTGATGAGACTTGTAAAGAAAGAGAGGAGAAAGACCTGAGGCCTAGAAAATGTGACCTGTGAGGAAAGATTGAACTTTTTTATGTGAAGGTGGTGAAACACTGGGATATATTGCCTAGGGAGCTTGTGTAGTTTCTATCGCTGAAGTTTTTAAAAGCAGGTGACATAGATGTCTGTAAGAAATGACATGGGGATAGCTGAGCCTCCCTTGGAGCAGAGGGATGGACTAGATGACCTCTGAGATCTGTTCCAGCTTGTGAATCATTGCCGAGCTGTGTTTTATCTTTATTGCCTTTTGCACCCTAGGTATAGGACTCAGCTGCCCAGGAGGTGTTGTGTCAGTAAAATGTATTATTTCCACAACACCTTTAGAAGAACAGAGAAGAGAGGAAGAGGTGTGGTGTAACATGGGGAAGAAGATGGGCTGGATGAGAGAAACATGAGCCTTTGTTACTTACAGGCAAAGTCTGTTAGGGGAGATGGCAAGAAAATAGTGGACAGTGAGTTGGGGGAAGGGATAAAGGAGGGAAAAGGCTTGTGTGCTTTTGGGGGCAGAGAATGTCCTTCAGTCCGAGAGTTCCCTTGACATTACCTGTGCTTAAGATAACAGTAAAACTGACAGGACTGCTGATGTGCTTTGCTGTCTTAGGACCTTGGGATCAGCCACACAGGATCTGATTCAGAACAGTGAATTGTGTGGTGTGGCTGCTGTATTCTTGGCAGGGGCAAAAAGTTGTGGGGGAAACGATGGTGCTGCTCCTTTGAGCAACTGCACAGTTAATTCAGCTACTCTGTATTTTACAGATTTAATGATTGACAGAGAAACAATGAACAAAATTCACTATCCTTACCAAACTATGTTAAAGGATGTGATTCATATCCATGAACCCAAATTTATCTGGAGAAGTGCTTCTTTGGTGGCAAAGGCTTTCTTCAGGTTGTATGCAGACATGTCTAGCGTATTGATTCATCCCTGCCTTTTTATGGATTATCCCTAGTTTAGGAAGAAATAAAAAGTTGCTTATACTCTCAGTTTCTAGAGAGAGACAGGTTCCTCCCTTGGTCTAGGCCTGCAAATTCAAGTGAAGCCAGTGAGGTTGCACAGGTGCAGTGGGGCAGAGGCTGACCTTCACTATCTCGTCATTTATATGGCCGAATGGTGCAGATTGGTTCCATATGGCTTAACTTCTATTAAAAAGTTAATCATGTTAATGGTGTATTAACCTCCTCAAATGTGATATTTGAAGAATAATGAGAATTACCAGTGTAGTGTAAAACATATTGAATCATAACCATGTGAAATGTTTATTATAGAGAATGAAAAGAGACTTCTTTTTCCTAATGATTTTAAGGAAAAATCCTCTGCAGATAATGAAAACAGATTTTGGGGGTTTTTTTCCCCTTAACTAAAGAAATTAGTATCTCTGTTCTTCATTAATCAAAGTTAAGGGAAATTACCCATTTTCATCTGCCAAGAAGAAATTTATGTATGAACTTGTCTTTCATAAACATCTCAAATATGATTTCAGTAAGAGCTGGCTACCTGAGAGTATTGGATGAATATAGCAAAGAGGTACTGCTCTTCTGGCTCAGGCTCACCATCAGTCTAGTCTGTTCACTTATTTCTGAGAATGGCTAGTTAACAAGCTTATTAAGAAAAGTGCAAGAGGTAACTCTTCCTGTCTTAACCTCCAGCAATTCAGGATTTATGTTGTGAATATTGATGATTTTTATCTTTTTACAAAACTCATTTAGAAACAGTTTTAGAATGACCCTA